ACCAGAGCTCCTTTAGCTTTCTCTTGAAGAAACCAGTTCAGCTGCTACCTTTTGAGGTGTAACTGTTTAGTGTTTTCAGCAGACATACTCTCTAGCTCTCTGATTTCTGACTCTAACTGCTCCTTAGCCCCTCTAATATTTTCAGTCGAGTAGGACGTGTACTGTTGACAGAACACCCTAATTTGACCCTTTCCAACCTCCCACCACTGACTCAAGGAGGGAAAAGACTCTTTCTTGGAAGTCCAATTAGCCCAAAACAGTTGAAAGTTTTCACAGAAATTGAAGTCCTGTAAAAGTTTAATGTTAAATTGCCAGAAGGACCTAGTTTTCCCAGTAGGAGATAAAACCAAATCTACTAAAATCAAATGATGGTCTGTAAAACCAACAGGGATTTGACAGTTAGCTGCGCAAGTTATAAAAGAAGCAGACACGCAAAGTCTGTCTAACCTAGCTGCACTAACCCTACCATCTGATATTTTCACCCAAGTGAACTGTTTCGCTGAAGGATGTTTCATCCTCCACACATCCACTAAACTGGCCTCCTTTAGCAGCTGAGACAGAAAAGAAGACGACTGAGGATGGAGCTCCTCTCCTGTCCTGTCTAAAATGACATCAGTGCAACAGTTCCAATCCCCCCCTATTATAAAACACTCCCCCTGACCACAGCTATCTAAGCTGTCTTTTAATAACTTAAACACAGACAAACGTTCAGGACCATGATAAATAAAAGTAAAGGTAAAACTTTCTATTTCTGCCTTCACCATCAGAACTCTGCCTGCTACGATCTCTGTTCTGGATAAAATATTCACATTTAGTGAGGGAGAGAATAAAACACCAACTCCAGCACTGAGATTAGAGCCATGGCTGAGTGCATACTGACCCCCTCATCATATTCCCCAGTCTGTCTCATTCAGGCTATCACTGTGTGTTTCCTGTAAAAATATAACATCTAACTTTTTCAGTTTAATAACCTCTGACACTAAGGCTCTTTTCTGTGCACTTCTCCCCCCGTTAATATTTAAAGAGGCAACCTTTAAGGCCTGCATATTAGAAGAGGAGAAAAAAGGAAACAAAACAGACAAATAGACACAGCAGAGAAGAAACACCCAGTGTTGTATGATCATGTTATTTTATCTGGAATATCTCAATTTCCTTGATCTTTTGGTCCCTTTAAGACCTTTTTTCAGAACGTTGACATGTTTTCTCAGACGATAACGTCTCTTCTCATCCAGCAGGTCTGTCCCTACAACCTTCTGAAGAGTGCTCACCGTCTGAATAAACTTTTTAACGTCAGGGAAATATTCACTTATTTCCACTGACCTGTCAGAAGAATCATCTAGGAAATCGTTTATAATATTATATTATTTAATACTATTTAATATGATTCAGTATTAAAGAAGAATATTATAATTATTATAATATAATTATAATATTCTTCTATAACATTATATTATTATAAAAATATAATATAATTATTATATTATATTTTTATAATAATATAATATTATAATATTATAAAAGATTACGGCCAAGTGTTTAAAAAAGACATAAAGGAAAACGTAACTTTTTACTCTCCTCTCCAAAACTTTCTTCTTCTTCTTCTTCTTCTTCTTCTTCATGTCTTTCGGGTCTGATCTCACAGGATTGGTCCATCCCTGAGGTCGGGTCCCCCTAGTGGCCTGGTGCACTTCCGTTTTGTCGAGCGAATTTGCAGCGTTTCTATCTGGCAGTTGTTTTGGGGTTTTGTGTGTTTTTGAAATCTGCAGCATTTGTCTTTGGCCTTTGTTTTGTGGGTTTGTTAGTTTGTGCTTCTGCTTCGTTTCTGTGATTGCAGCATTTTTCTGTTGCTGCCCTTTTCTGTTGGATTTGTTTTATGTGTTTGTGTGTTTGCATCATTCCCGTGTTTGAAGCGTTTTGCTGTTTGCGGCACGTTTGCCCTTGTCGGCCACCATACCTCTATATAACCTGTACCCTTCGGCAGTCAGCTCAGAATAATCAAAAGTAGCATCCAATTGTGTTTCTGACGATGCAAAAACATAGATATTGTATAAAGCAGATTCTATACATTTCTAGAAATATCATATATTTAAGTGAGCTAAAGCCAAACACTTCCCCTGCAAACTTATTGGCAAATATTTATATATAATATTTATATTTTGTTATTCAGACACATAAAACAAACGTAAAAGTGAAAAAGACAAACTAATCTAATCAAAGAAATGTTGACCCCAAAAATGAGGGTCTGACAACCAATCTGAAAACACTGTGTTTGTTGCATGATATCACGTAGACCATAGGTGTAGCATGGGGAAAAACATATAAGGTCATGGACCAAAAGGAAATAAAAGGTCATAAGGCCGAACAGAAATGAAGGTCAACAAAACCAACTTAAATAAAATGGAAAACAAAACATAAGGTCTGACAAACAAATTAAAGTCAGCGTTGACAAACAAAAGTCAGGGTCTGACGACCAAACTGAAAAATACTGAGTTTGTTGCATGAGCTCTCGAAGACCAAGGGTGCAGCATGGATGACACCAGACATGAAATGAGAACACCACCATCAGTTATATGTGTGACTTAGGAATGAGTGTAACAAGGTCTTATCGGGAAAAAACGCGACTACGTAATCTGATACCATTTGATGACGCGATGTCCAGCAAAACAAAACTCCTGGGCCAGCCATCGTTCTTCCTCTTAACGCTTTTGTTCTCTTTCCACTCTGTCTCACTCACTCTACCAACACATTGTGTTTTCAGCTCTGCTCATGCTGGTTAGCTCAATGTTTAGCTCATTTAGCTCTGACTACCATTTCACTATTCCTGCTACACTGCTGTGGCCTTTGAAGGACGTAGTTACGCTTTAATGATGTACTTCGTAGGTCTGGATTAGTTATCTGAATTCTATAAACCCAATCCTGAAAAGAAACTAATGCTGTGTGTAGATTATTAGTTGCATAATGTGATACAGACTTAATGCAAATATCAGGAGATGTATGTCCGTCTCTACATGTCTTCAAATCCCTGTTACCCTTGTAGTACACAGCTAAATACTCATTGACTGGAACTTTTAATCAGTGTAACATAGACACACCGTGTACTGATATAGCACCCAGACCTCAGTGCCCTATCTGAAGAAGTCAGGCATGAACAGTGTATAATGAAGATATTATCTAAACCAGCTGTTATTGGAGAACTTACGGTAATTGACATCCTTTGTGGCTGAAACAAAGAAAACCTGCACCAATATTATAGGTTTTAAAGTAAGATCCTTCGAGAATCTTGTTCGTGACGATCTTGTCCCAAGACAGGTGGATATTTGCTGCATGAAGATGTCTGCTGATCAGGGAGTTGTGGCAACAGAGACCAAAGGTGATGAGCGCCCGGTGAAGCTTTTCTGGGAACTGATCATAGGACAGTTTGGAAGGATTAGCTGGACACTAAGTGTCCATTGGAGGTGGACTGGAGATTTAATTTACCTGGATAAAAATGACCTGCCAGTACACAGAACTAAAGGTAGTGAACAACGTTGTTTGTAGTACGTTGCACTTGAAGCTACTCTTAACTGATATGTACCAGCTGTACTTGACTTTGTTGATTTGGTTTTGTAGGCTACTGGTATTAATGTACAATGAAAAGTTTGGGTGATACAACATGTAGCGATGATTTGTTTGTTAGTGGTATACTGCCATGATACACAATGTAAGCTTTCAAAAGATGAAAGACAAAAAAAATTAAGAAAAGTCAAATTTCCTTAGACAACACATGCTATGCTGCTAAAGGTTATCCCTGAAACATTTAGCCTAATAAATATTTTCCAATGTTCAGAAAATGCCACAATCATGTTCTGGGTTATTCCATAATGAATTTGCAAACACAATATCAATATATACAGCTGCACATAATGAACAAGTAATATAAACACATTCTCGAAGTAGAAATGATTCCTGTGCCTCTTCTGTCAAGCAGAGTTTTCGGGTGATTTATTGATTTATTCTGTGTTGTATTGACGCAGCCTATGAGTGTTTTCTTAATTAACTATAATGATTATTTAACTGCTTTCAGTCATGTCACTGCAGCAAATTTCATTAAGCAGCTAAACTTAAAAACTGTTTTAAAATTGACAGAGAAAACTGAGGGTTTATCAGGACGATGCCTGGTTTACTCTGAACAGTTTCCCTGTATGAACCTAGGTTTAGGAGGTGTAAAAGAGTGGGCGTGGACGTGCTACGGTAAGCGTACTGAATCATTTCCGGTTTACTTCCTGCTCTGTGTACACTGTTTGGTGCTGTAGCTCTGTCAGTGAACGCTAAATCTAAATTTGTTTTACTCGTTACAGCGGTTATTTTCCCGCTTAACATTTAAACGTAGACTAGTTCTACCTAAGCACTCGGAGTTTCTCCTTCTTTTAGCGACTTTTCACTACTTTCAAAAGTTTTTCATACACGCTAGTTTCATTAGCATTAGCAGTTAGCTATGGCTTCTCCCTCTCCCTCTCCTCTGTCCTGCTCAGTGTGTCAGATGTTCAGTTATTCCTCTGCCTCCTTTAAAGATAATGGTACATGTATTAAGTGTAGTTTATTTACTGCGCTGGAGGCGAGGCTTAGTGAGTTAGAGGAACGGTACCCCACCACGGAGATATCTTTAGCCGCTATAGTTAGTCAGCCCCCAGCAGCCGGTGCGGTCCGACCGAAGGTAGCTTCTGTTAGATCTGTAGATCCTCCGGTAGTTCCTGAGCAGCCGGGAAGACAGGGAGGCTGGGTGACTGAGCGAAGGAAGACTAAAACGGCGAAGCCCACAGGTCACCACCAACCCATTCACGTTTCTAATACATTTTCCCCACTCAGCAATACACCCGCTGAGGAACCAACTCTGGTTATTGGCAGCTCCATAGTCAGAAACGTGAAGTAAGCGAAGCCAGCAGCCATAGTTAAATGTATCCCTGAATTCTCAGAGTTTCTGTCAAGTTTAGTCCTTAAATCAGATAAAGTAATTATTGTAGGTGATTTTAATATTCATGTGGATGTTGACAATGACAGCCTTAGTAATGCATTTATATCATTAATAGACTCAATTGGCTTCTGTCAGAGTGTAAATAAACCAACTCATTGTTTTAATCACACTCTTGACCTTGTTTTATCATATGGCATTGATATTGAACATTTAATAGTTTTCCCACATAATCCTTTCCTATCTGACCATTATTTAATAACTTTTGAATTCATACTATTAGATTATAAGCCATTAGGCAAAACTTCCTACAGCAGATGTCTATCTGACAGTGCTGTAGCTAAATTTAAGGAGGAGATTCCTTCAGTGTTTAATTCAATGCCATGTCTGAATTTAACAGAGTCCTATAACGACTTTAGTCCCTCTGAAATTGATAATCTTGTCGATAGTGCTACAGGCTCACTACGATCAACATTAGACTCTATCGCTCCTATAAAAAGGAAATTATTAAAACATAGGGGACTAGCACCGTGGTATAACCACCAAACCCGCCAGTTAAAACAAATAGCTAGGAAATCTGAAAGGAAATGGCGCTCTTCCAAATTATCAGAATATCGCTCAAATTGGCAAGATAATCTTAAAATTTATAGAAAGGCCCTCCGTAATGCCAGAGGAGCCTATTACTCAGCACTAATAGAAGAAAATAAGAATAACCCTAGATTCCTCTTCAGCACTGTAGCCAGGCTGACAGAGAGTCACAGCTCTATTGAGCCACATATCCCCATAAACTTAAGTAGCAATGACTTCATGAGCTTCTTCTATAATAAAATTATTACTATTAGAGAAAAAATTAATCACCAACTGCCATCAACAGTTATCAGTGGCTCTCCAAGTTCAGGGACTTCTGTCAATGTAAACTTAGATATATATTTAGACTGTTTTTCTGCTATCGATCTTCATCAGTTAACTTCAATCATTTCTTCATCGAAGCCATCAACCTGTCTATTAGACCCGATCCCAACTAGGCTGCTTAAAGAAGTTGTTCCCTTAATTGGCACTTCTTTAATGGATATGATTAATCTTTCTTTATTATCAGGATATGTACCACAGTCCTTTAAAGTAGCTGTAATTAAACCCCTTCTTAAAAAGTCCACTCTTGACCCAGGGGTTTTAGCCAACTATAGACCAATTTCTAACCTCCCCTTCCTCTCTAAGATTCTGGAGAAAGTAGTCGCCAAAGAGTTGTGTGACTTTCTACATAACAATAGTTTATTTGAGGATTTTCAGTCAGGATTTAGAGTTCATCAGCACAGAGACAGCTCTGGTTAAAGTTAATAATGACCTTCTGACTGCTTCTGACAATGGACTTGTCTCTGTACTTGTATTATTAGATCTTAGTGCTGCATTTGACACCATTGACCATAATATTCTTTTAGAGAGACTTGAGCATCAAATTGGCATTAAAGGAACCGCACTAAGCTGGTTTAAGTCATATTTATCAGATCGCTCGCAGTTTGTACATGTTAACGATGAATCTTCAATAAATACTATAGTTAATCATGGAGTTCCACAAGGTTCTGTACTTGGACCAATACTATTTACTTTATATATGCTCCCTTTAGGCAACATTATTAGGAATCACTCCATTAACTTTCACTGTTATGCAGATGATACGCAGTTATATCTATCAATCAAGCCCTATGAAATTAATCAATTATCTAAATTACAAACATGTCTTAAGGACATAAAATCCTGGATGACCTGCAATTTTCTGATGTTAAACTCAGAAAAAAACGAAATTCTTGTTCTTGGCCAAAAACCTTAGAGACTCACTGTCTAAAGATATAGTTAGTCTCGATGGCATTAACTTGGCCTCTAGCACCACTGTCAGGAATCTCGGGGTTAGCTTTGATCAGGATTTGTCATTTAACTCCCACATAAAGCAGACCTCTAGGACTGCCTTCTTTCATTTACGTAATATTACAAAAATTAGACACATCCTATCACAGACAGATGCAGAAAAACTAATCCATGCATTTGTTACTTCAAGGCTGGATTACTGCAACTCTTTATTAGCAGGTTGCCCCAATAAGTCCATTAAAACGCTCCAATTAATTCAGAACGCTGCAGCACGAGTACTGACAGGAACTAGAAAAAGAGATCACATCTCTCCTGTACTAGCTTCGCTGCATTGGCTCCCTGTAAAATGTAGAATAGAATTTAAAATCCTCCTCCTCACCTATAAAGCTCAGGTCAGGTCAGGCCCCTTCATATCTTAAAGAGCTCATAGTACCCTATTACCCCTCTAGAACACTACGTTCTCTGAATGCTGGGCTACTTGTGGTTCCTATAGTCTCTAAAAGTAGAACAGGAGCCAGAGCCTTCAGTTACCAAGCTCCTCTCCTGTGGAACCAGCTTCCATTTGTGGTTCGGGAGGCAGACACCCTCACCACATTCAAGAGTAGGCTTAAGACATTCCTCTTTGATAAAGCTTATAGTTAGGGCTGGATCAGGTGAGTCCTGAACCATCCCTTAGTTATGCTGCTATAGGCCTAGACTATCGGGTGATTTCCCATGGTGCACTGAGCTCCTCCCTTCCTCTCTCTTTCTGCACTCATTCATGTCCCATTAATGCATGTTACTAACTTCACTTCTTTCCCGGAGTTCTTGTGCTTTCTCGTCTCGCAGGTTCTTGACGATCCTGGTGGAGCCTCCTGCCATGGTCCTGCTAGATTGCCATTGCCAATACTGTTGTTGCTGTGCACCTGTCTGTCTGTCTCTCGCTCTCTCTCTCTCTCTCTCTCTCACCCCAACTGGTCGAGACAGACGACCACCCACCTAGAGCCGGAGGATCTGTCCTAGGTTTCTGCCTTTTAACAGGCAGTTTTTCCCTTGCCCTTGTCGCCAAGTGCTTGCTCATGGTGGTACTGTTGGGTCTCTGTAATTAATGTTTTAAAGAGTTCGGTCTAGACCTGCTCTATTTGAAAAGTGTCCTGAGATAACTTCTGTTATGAATTGGCGCTATACAAATAAAATTGAATTGAATTGAAAATTATGCAAGGCACAATAATAAGCCCGAGGAAGAGTAGTATTGTGCTTTCTTATGCAAGGCACAATAATAAGTATGGGGAAGAGTAGTATTGTGCTTGCTTATGCAAGGCACAATAATAATAAGCACGAGGGATAGTAGTATTGTGCTTGCTTTGCAAGGCACAATAATAAGCCCGAGGGAGAGTAGTATTGTGCTTGCTTTGCAAGGCACAATAATAAGTATGGGGAAGAGTAGTATTGTGCTTGCTTATGCAAGGCACAATAATAAGTATGGGGGATAATAGTATTGTGCTTGCTTATACAAGGCACAATAATAATAAGCCCGAGGGATAATAGTATTGTGCTTTTCAAGGCACAATAATAAGCACGAGGAAGAGTAGTATTGTGCTTTTCAAGGCACAATAATAAGCCCGAGGGATAATAGTATTGTGCTTTTCAAGGCACAATAATAATAAGCACGGGGGATAGTAGTATTATGCTTTTCAAGGCACAATAATAATAAGCACGGGGGATAGTAGTATTATGCTTTTCAAGGCACAATAATAATAAGCACGGGGGATAATAGTATTGTGCTTTTCAGGGCACAATAATCATGGGAAATCCCCATGATGCACTGAGTTTAGGTAGTTTAGGCCTAGAGCAGCACATCTGACCACATAGCTCACAAAAAGTGTACTTAGAACATATAGTCAACCTGCATAAGAAATCTATCATCTAACAAAAAATGTAAGACAGGGGTTTTCTATGTTTAGGCACAATGGCATTTATATAATTAATTGTAAGTATTGACATAAAATGAGAAGGTATCATTGAGACAAAAGTGGAAATAATGTTTGAAATTCACTATACAAATAAAACTGAATTGAATTGAATTGAATAGAAGAAGACGACACTATGGGAAAAATATTCATATGAAATATACAATGCTTTAATTACAACTTGTTATCATTGTTGTAAGTTATTTGTTTTGCTTGATACCTAGGTTGTAGGGGTAAAGTATATTCTGTGGCTCGGGAAATAACAAGGGAGCAAAGTAAAATGTAACCAATTCATGTAATCTTTATGTAATAATAATTGTTAATTGTTCAGCAGGACTTTGGAAAAATTTGAAGAAGAGGTAACATTCTGTAATCTGGACACAATTTCGTAAGTTTTTGTGAGTGACAAGAGTAACTCAAGAGGGGGAATGTAGTGGGGAAATGCATTCAGGGATAAGAATGATGATTGTGTGAATGATTGTGCCATGAGGCAGAAGGGACAGCAGTAGCTCAGTGTGTAGGGTCTTGGCTTGGCTCAGAGGGTCACCGGTTCAAGTCCCACAGACCACAAAATATGGAGTGTGGACTGGTAGCTGGAGAGGTCCCAGTTTCATCTCCTGTGCACTGCCGAGGTGCCCTTGAACAAGGCACCTAACCCAAAAACCTGCTCATGACGCGCCAGTAACGTGCAGCCCTGTCACCCCACCATCTCTCTCTGCATGTCCACAAGTGTGTGAAGTGTGTATTTCAGCCTGTGTGTGCGTGTATATAAAAAAGAGTGAAAAATAACAATTTCCCCCTAGGGGATCAATAAAGTTTATTTTCTTCTACTTGAGTTAAGCACATTAGACGTCACCAATAGAATTCCTTGGGAAAGAGGCATATAATAGACTGATTTTCTTTGTTCAAGTCAGTTGATTCTTGAGAGATCGGTTTGCTTGTATCCTGTGTTATGTAAATAAATCTTGCACGTGGAGTGAAACTGTCAGCACGACCTGTGAGTCTGTGTCACCATTCTGGGTACCTTCAGTGGGAGTTTGTGGTCACTAACGTCAGTCAGACATCAATTGAGGTGCACCGGGACAAGAAAAATTGTCCCAATGCACCTCAACCACAACAACTGTAAGCTGCAGCCATTTTACATTGTACATCCCACTTTTGTTGAGAAGTTGCATCATTTGAGTTTCAAAGATACCTCAGATCTATGACACCTCCAGCAAAATACGCATTTATGATGTGCAGAATGCAAGGACAAGTTTGTGACCATCAGCTACGATGTTCTAGATGCCAATTAGCCATATAAGGCCGTCACAAAAACATCTTCAGTTGTTAACTTGTTTTATTTAACTAGCAAAGTAGTGGAGCAGCAATGAAAAAGATGCCAAGCCAGATTCTCTGCCATTCACAAAGAAAACCCATCAAGTGGTCACACTGACTCCAGGAGAGATCCTTTGTCGGGAAGACAGTTGCATCTGCTCCACACTAAAGCAGTTTAGATGTCATTGCTTCACCACACGCACTACACACTTTTAACAAGACAGCCAAAACCTTGAGCTGTCCGATTGTATAAATATCTACATATATTTTTCTCTTTTTTTTGTCATTGTCATTGTTCATGTTTTAGTATTGGTCCTTCAAAAAGTACCTCAATGAGAATGCAGTGCTTGTTTAACCAAATCTCTGAATGTTGCATTTAAATATTTGAAAATTGATATCCACATTTTGAATGATCAGTATTTGTTTAGTTTAATAAAAACATATATACTTGCACTTTTCTGTAGCATGCTGTGTATTAATAATGTTCAGTTTGATATATTAAACCAAAAGATCTCACAGAGACATAGTTTTGTCAATACCACCGCATTACAGTGAACCACCCCATCACATTAGTGATGACCTTGTCACAAGGTCGTTTTCTTGAGGCCATTGAGATGTCATGTCAGAGTCATATTTAAAGCTTAAGAAGCTAAAAAGAAGCAACAACAACAACAACAAAAAATGCTTTGGATTACATACTTTTTATTGGTGATTTTAACAGGACATTTAACTAGTAGGAAACGTATTTTTGAAATGTATTTCATGTATTAGCACTACAATGGTGTACATAATGTCCATGACAGGATGGTACAACAATTAATGTTGAATAACGTTCTCGTTTTGTGGACTAATAAAATGAATGTAACACCCTTGACAAGCCAAATTCACATTTAGAGTATGAGCATCTAAAAAAGAAAAACAATAATTAAATCCTATCCAATCCAATCCAACTTTATTTGTTAAGCACTTTAAAACAACCAAAGTTGACCAAAGTGCTGTACAGGAGAATAAATAAGACATCATAAATAAAAGACATAACAGCTCACATGAGGCGCAAAATAACATATAATACAACAATAAAATGAAAAGACATAAATAAAAATAATAACCATGCAATAACAAGCAATCAAAAAGTAAAAATAACAAATACAAAAAATAAATCAAGTAAATAAAGTCGACATCTTACTAGGTGTCAAAGGCCACAGAGAAGAGATGGGTTTTAAGACTGGTTTTAAAAACAGACAGAGAAGAGGCCTGTCTAATGTGCAGAGGCAGATCATTCCATAATTTAGGAGCAGACAAAGCAAAGGCACGGTCCCCTCTGAGCTTCCGCTTAGTTTTAGGCACACTCAGGAGCAGCTGATCATCTGACCTCAGAGAGCGGACGGGTATATAGGGGTGTAGAAGCTCAGATAAGTAGG